ACTGTTTAGAAAGTCAGTGTGAGAATGATTCAGAAGTCAATTTATAGATCAGGATGCTTGGTAGATGAAGGACCAGAAATGGATGGAGGTTACATTCTACCAAATCTTATTTTAAATCTTATTTATTTATTTAGTATTATTTAAAATATTCATATCTCACACTGTTATTTTACAAAGCTCCTGAGGTGCTTTCTTATTTTAATTTTCAAGATTTCTACAAATGATGTGAAACATTTTTTTGTGGTCTAGTAGTGAGAAACAGCAATAAACCAATGATTCAGTTCTGGTTTTGCTTCTAGCTGCCCACATATGACTTAAATTGAGTCAATCATTGTTCTTCACTGTAACTTATTTTTGCCAAACATAGCTAGCTGATGCTAATATTAACCACCTGCTTCATATAGCTGTAATCAGTTTCCATGTGTCTGCTTTTCTTTTTCAAAGTTTAGAATATTCCGTAACATAATATTCCCTAATTTTGATACTGTTCCATAACATAGAATGCTAAAATGATTTTGATCTACAATATTACAAGATTAACTTTGGCTGTACAGTGTAAACTGGTTTCTCAAATTCTAACTTTTTTAAAACATTGCCTGTAATTGTTGTGTTAAGAGTTGATACTTTCAAGTACATGGTTTGAGTTACAAATTAGATCTGTTACATTAAAGACCACATGACAAAATTACTGTACACAGCTGTATTTCAAATCAATAGCCTGATGATATTAACATTAACACTGGGATTGTGCGGTTTGAGAAGCTGCCAGAAATCTAGACTAATTCAGTACTACTTAAATTACCAAATTATGATTTTGCACAACATCATTAAAAAAAATACTTAAAATATTTATAAGAATAATGCAAAGCCACGTCTAATGTTCTTTGTTACTTGCATAGTAAATATACGGTACTGTATAGTGATTTTTTCCAGATGTAGCATCTAGGAATAAGTATATTTTGCATTTTATACTGGACAGAAAGGACACAAACGTTGCCTTAACTACATCATTTTGATGCAACGGATAGGTGAAGACCGCTTTTATCTCTTCATTGTACCATGCACCTCCAAAGACAAATGGAGGATCTAAAAAAAACCCAAAAAACAAACAAACCCACAATTGAATTAACCACACAAAGTTGTATCTTTGAACCACAGTTGTTACAATTAGCATAGGTTGCATGAAAAATAAACATTTTCCTGATTCTTAAAACTGCCTGGAAACCAATTTTCTAATGGGTAAATTTGATAAAAATACTGTAAGAGTTGGTGTTTGTATGGTAGCCATAAAACCCCATGAATTTTGCTTAAACGACAAAGCATAGGAATTAGAGTTTACATACCTAGCTGTTGAAGAAATCATGGTGCCGTCTACAATGTGGAAGTGTGCTTTGAATTACGTGAAGTCTGAGTCATTTGTGAAAATGCTGTTTTTTCTATGGCTATATTAATTGATTAATTTACCAGTGCTTAGCCTAGTGATAAGTATAATTAAATGATTATTCACTTAATAATCTTGGATCTGTGAATCAGATTACCACAGGTTGAGCTATAAAACAAATTAAATATCTTTCATCTGTTTCTTATAGTCAGCAAAATGCTAGTGGCTTGAGTGCATGTCATAGATAACTGGGTTGTTTATTCCTTACCCCAAAAATCTGAGACATGAGTTTTTGGAAGTTAGTTGAAATATTTTGTTTTTGTTTTACTGTAGCTGTGTAGACTAAGATCATTGTTGAAGACAAAAAAAATCTGTGTAAATAATATAGCAGTTGAAATGGGACATTGCACTGTACATCAGTTGAATTGAAATAAATAAATACTGTCCAGTATTGTTTATAATGTATTTTAGGTACAAGCCTATGCAGAAGGTGGATGGAGTCACAGATGGTTTCACAGCAAGTGGACAGCAGACAGGTGCATCTGTTGAACAAACTGTAATTGCTCAAAGTCAGCATCATCAACAGTTTTTGGGTATGTGTGAAGTGGCTTAAGAAAAATTAACTACTGTAGACTTTATACACAGCAAAGTTATTCTTTAATAGGTCTATTCCAGAGTATTGTTCCTGAGTAAATGGTGTATAGTGATTAGTGTGTATGTACCTTTATACAAATAATTTTTTTCTTACAAAGGGACTGAGTTTCGTTGAAGCTTCTCCTTGTGTTTGGAAAAAGGACAGTCAGGTTTGTGCCATCAATCCACACATATTGCAGCTGTGTATTCAGAAGGCCAGTAACTTTTTTGAGCAGCATGTAGATTCTCAGAACTGATCAGCCCAACTTGTCAAGGCAAAGGGCTATTGAAAGATGTGGCTGTAGCTTAGTCAGAGAGGAAATGCAGAAAGTCCTAGGTTCTATCCCTGGCATCTCCAGCTAAGGATCTCATGTAGTAGGGGTTGGGAAAGACCTTTCTTTGCATTATATCCTGGAGAGCTGCTGTCATTCACAGTAGACAACAGTGACCTAGATGAATCAACGGTCTGACTAAATGTAAGGCTCAGTATAAGGCTGGGCTCAGTAAAAACTTTGAAGAAGGCAAGAATGTTATCCAAGTTTCTTCCTATTCTAATATTATAAATTGATTCCCTCTTACCCTTTGCTCTCATGCTTTAGCAGAAAATATTAACCTTGTATCCTCAAATGATACTCAGTCTTGTGCAAAGAATGGATGGGATTTATTCAGTTCTAATATCAAATAGTATCTAGACAATTTATCTAATGTAGTGTTATTTGAGATGAACTACTCCAGCACTGAAGAAGAACATAGCCTAACCTTTATGCTCAGTTGGTGGACAATCCTATATTGAACATTTTTCTGGGACCAGCCCCTGGGCCATCCTTGGCTGAGGTGCCTCAGCAATGTTGTGGACTTCAACCCACCTCCCTTGTACCACAGGCAGCCACTGTCAACCAGAACACCCAGGACAGCAGGTAGCATCAGCAATGGGACATGGGCTCGTCACCTCCCTCCTGGGCCCCAGAGCTTTTGGCATTGGCAGATGACATAATCTCCTGAGGCTGGGACAACAAAGACAATGCTAGGGAGGAGTGGGCTTCAGAGGCCATCTGGCAAGCATGAAGGCAGCCAACAGAAGCCCAGCTGTGATGGCATGGGAGGGGCCTAGCCATGGAAGAACCTGGAAGGAGCCAGTCAGGGAACTGGCCAGTGAGAGAAGGGGGGAGGGCTAGCAAGGGTGGAACAGAAGACTGTGGGAAGTGGTGGTCCAATGTTTGGCCCAGATGATGGCTCAAGCCATTGGGGTGGTGCAGGGGGTGGGCTGATTGGTGGAGCAGGAAGGAAGCATGACATGGCTCCACAACCAGGCCAGGAAGGAGATAGGGAACATTGTATTGCCCAGGCAAGGGTAACACCCCAGGAAAGAGATGGTGGACTTCGGTGATGCAATCCTTCTCCCCTTTTCTGAGGCCTGGGGAGACCCCAGGGAGTGAAAGCAGCACAACAGCTGAGGGCCAGAGTGCAGCACCAGTGAGAGAGGAGTCTCACAACATGGAATAGAATGCTATTTGCTGTTAGAATTTATCCATAGCACTATATTCTCAAATTGTTTATGTAACTGGAACCAACTGTAGAGCTATAGTACTGCCACAGTCACACATACTATTTAGAGTAAAAAATTAGGGCATTTATAATCTTAAAGCCAAATAAAATGGAATAATGGAGAAGGTTGTCTGAAAAGTGCAGGGCGCAGAGTGAAAAGATCAACAGGTAATTGGTATTTTGGGAAATAACGTAATCCCATCTATGGGTGTAATACCTAAAACAAAAACATGCATTGACTGAAATGTGACACTCTGGCTAGATGAAAGTCCTTCCTGAGTGGAGGCAATGATTTTCCCAGTCGTCTTCATGAAAAGTAGAGATATAATAAGCATTTTACTATCCCTCAGGTGACTGGGCTTATTTAACTCAGTGGGCTGCTACTTTCCATGAGCAGTATTTTCCTGGGAGTACAGTACATCACAATACAGATGTCATTTTAAATAAACACTGGTCTCTGGAGTTCCTGTTGACTGTATGGAAGTGCCATGTGTTGTGGGTCAATAACAAAACAAAATACACCATGGAGAAAACGTATTGCTCAAGATCAAATACCACTGAAAGTATTACTTAAAGGCATATGTCTCAAACATAATAAATGAGAAAATCATTCATAGAGATTAAACTATAAATCTTTTAGTATAATCCACGTGTACTTATTGCTGTTTAAACACAAAAGTTATGAAACAAATACACCAGTATAAAGAAGCCTTCCCAAAGCAAGACCGTAAATGGGCTGAATGCAGTCCTTGAAAATACTGTAATCTTCTTTGCTGTTTCAGACTTTCTTAGTTTCAAACTTTTAAGTCTTAAGGGAGACTGAGAAACCAGGCTGACGTCTCTTGTCGGCCGAGAGAGTTTTAATTCTACTTCTTCTTCAGAGCCAATATATTCTTATGGAACTAATACAAATAACAAAACAAGCACATCATCTTGTATACAGATATTCAAAACACACTTCAAACCTTGTTATTAACAATTTGAAACTTGAGTTACCCACACAGTTTACATATTTTGCATGCCTTATCATACTCCCACAAGGACTTGTTACACTCCTTATGGCAAAGTGGTTCTTACATGCACAAACTCAGCATGCATACTTAAAGCTAATCGTGCCTGAATCATTTAAAATCACAGTGCATTTAAAGTCACAGAGTATATTTAACACAAATAAAAGACTACAAATAAGAGGATAAGTCAAGTTCATTATTTAAATCATAAGGTGAAAAAGTTCTATATTCAAAGATGTACCTTGCTTCTTTTTGCAATAGAAATTTCTGTGTATCATGACACTTGTATTGCTGTGGTGTATATTTGTAAATAACAATTTTTTAAACTTCTCTGGGTCATGGTGGGTCATAGCAAAATGCTCAACGAGAGGAGCTGTCATAATGGAATTCCTGATTCGAGAAAGTTGTCCCAAAAGTCTGACTTTAATCATGCGCATGGAAATACCAATGTATTGCTTTTTACACTCACATTCCAAAAGATACACAGATTGGCGTGTTCTGCAATTAGAATAATGTGGAAGTTGGATCATATATCCTTTCTATGGATGTGCATATTCCTTAATGTCTATAGAATATTTGCAGGCTGCACAATTTTGAAAACATTTATGATGCCCTAATGTCACAGGGGTTATCTTGTTCTCCGTCTGAAAATCAGATCTAGTGATGATTTCTCTTATGTTTCTACCCCTTCTATATCCAATTTTTTGAGTCCCCGAACATCCATCAATTCCTGACACTAAATGCCAATGTTTATGAATTATGTGACTAATCTGTTTGGCTATGTGTTGTGGTTCAGCCATGGCTCAGCAACAGCAAGGACTCCTCAGAAGAGGAGCCCCCTGTAGCCAGCTCTGAGTCAGCAGAAGCTGACAGGCAGGAACGTGAGCTGCAGTCTTGTCAGGATTCACAGCTAACACCTGGTGGAGAACCATGGACACACTCCAGCCCTGATTCAACAGGTGAAACTCAGTTCATCATTTCCAGCCCTCCAGTATCACCACACCCTTAGAGCATCACAGAATGAGGCTACGAACAAACTACAGTGCACACCTCCTGGCCCGACACCAGCTGTTTGAGTAATTGGCTGCAAGTGTGACCCTTAGGCATATGGCTATAAAAACCAGCCAAGGGAGGCTGTTAGGTGTAGAAGCAACAAGTTGAAATCTCTGACTCTGCGACCACTACATGGGATCCTGCCTCTACCCTGTGGCTCTTCAGACCATTTCCTGACTCTGCCTTTGTCTTGTTCCTGAACCTGCTCATGAGTAACTCTCAGGCTCTCATGTTATGCTTCCTTCCTGCTGTACGAACTGACTCTTGGACTAGACTCCTGACTCTGTGCTTATCCTTGGACTGGATCTTGACTATGCTCTTGTCTTACTCACTCTGCGCTCACAGAGTGCACCCAATGCCATTCCTGGCCTGGCTCACAACACCATGCTCTCTTCTATCACAGCAAAGGTGTAAATTGTCCTATATACTTCTCCTGCTACCCAAATATATGCTGATTTGTATACTTTACCTGAGATACTCAAATTAACTTGAACTGTGCTAACTATTAAATGGCAAATGAACATCCCATGGGGTGGTGTAAAGCAGCGATATTTGGCTTGAGCAATCTACATCAAGCTTAGCTCATTTTTTTTCAAAATACTTGCATAATTTGAAAGTTATGTATCATTTGCCACAAGATACAGAACTTTCAAATAGAAACCTTGTAGACAAAAGTCATCTATACTCAAATATCTCTGGGAAAAGGAACAAAACAACACTCCATCATTTAGTCTGTGTATATTAACAATTTATATTAAAGTGCCACAGAGGAGTGATTGTGTGCCACTTGAAACTCATGTACTTACAGCAAGGTTATAAGTATTCTTTTCATTCCTATGAATACAGTACATTTCATTTAGAAGACTTAGTTATTTCTTTATATGATATTTTAGAAGTCTGAAATGTTGTTACTTCTTCAATTGCAGTTTTTAAAATACATAATATAAATCCTTCCTGTTTGACTGCAACACTTTATGACCTTTTTGGTATTTATTTATTTCTGTCATTAAATGTTTTCCTAATTAGACTGTGACTGACACAGTCTCCAATATTTTTCCTCTGTTGCGTTGTCATGGAAACAGATGCATCTCGAGCACTTCCAGAGTTTGGAGAAGTTGAAATATCTTCTCTGCCAGATGGTACTACTTTTGAGGATATCAAGTCATTGCAGAGTCTCTATCGAGAGCACTGTGAGGTAAGGAAGAGGTATTCTTTACCATTGACATTCTATCATGCAGTCAAGAGTTCTTGATATAACACAAAAAACAACATATATATCCGAAGATTACCTTCTTTCCCTGAAAAACAGAATACAATAGGGAAAACCTATCACAATACCAAGCATGTATGTTTTGTTTGCAAAGATAGGCACAGTTGTGGACAGGTCCTTTGAGCTTCCCTGCACTCACCAGAGCCACATGAGTATTCCTGATGCCGCATTGCTTTTTAATTTTTGTGCCCCTAATTTTTAATGTTAGTCACCAATTAGATTTTGAATTTTTATAAAATTTGAAATAAAAATGCTAAAATGTTGATGTAATGTATTAAAATGTTTTGCCTTAATATGATTAATCTGTGTAATCACTTAGGAAAGACTCTGTCTGCAAAGCCCTAGGGTGAGATCATCCCGTAACACTTCTGATCTATTGATCATTATTAAACAAGTGTGGGCAATCCACAGTAGGGATGGGCACAAACTGGTTCATGAACCAAAATTTGGGCCAAACATGGGTTGTTCAGGGCTTGGGAAGCAATGTTTGGGGAAGACGCACCCCCCAAACATTTACTGAACTTAGGCCTCTTCGATTCAGCTCTTTGGAGCTGTTCGGTCTCCTGGTGCAGGTTCAGCTGTCTCAGGCTCAGCTGTCTCAGGCTCACTCGCACCACCCATTTTAACAGGCTGCAAGAGGGAGTCGAAGACAGCAGAGCCAGCAGAAAGGAGGGGGTGAAATGCCCCCATATTTAACCCTCTGGTTTTGCTCCCCCTCCAATCAAAGTGGTGGGGAGCAAAACCAGAGGGTTAAATGAAGCCACTTCCCAGGTGATCCCCCAAATGCTGGGCAAAAGGAGGAAGGGAAGCCTTTTCCTGGGCAATCCCCCCTTTTCTCCTGGCTGCAGCTCACCTTGGCCAGGAGAAGGAAAGCCCCTTTCCGGGCGATTTCCCTCTTTCTCCTGGCCATGGTCCACAATGGGAGAAAGGGAGAAGGGAAGCCTTTTTCCGGGTGATCTCCTCCTTCTCCTGGCTGTGGTCAGGAGAAAAGAAGAAGGGAAGCCCCTTTCCAGGCAATCTCCCCCTTATCCTGGTTGTGGCAAGCTGCATCCAGGAGAAAAGGTGAAGGGAAGTCTCTTCGCAGGAGACCCCCCTCCCCATTCTACCACATCCTGAACTTGCTGGACTGGTTCAGTCTGTTAGGCCAGTTTGATTTGGGGTTCCATCCATGGGCTGTCATGGACCCCAAACCAAACCACCTTTTCTTGGTCCATGCCCATCCCTAGTCCACAGGATTGTGTACTTACGCCCCTAATCCTTCCCCTCTCCAGCACTAATTTCTACTGCTTTGCATTGCCAGCCTTAACCATGGTTAAAGCTCACAGCTACACTGATTTCACCCATGGTTCATCATCATGGCTTCTATGCAGTCACAAGCCTGTGGTGGGAGGATTATTTCCAAAGCTTTCTAGAAGATTCGAGAGCCTAGAAGCATTCCCCTCTCCCTTCCGACTTGCTCCATTGTTTCCTGCCAAATTGAGCACACCCTTGCCTTGATGTCAACAGTCTCTATCCCCCGAATGTCAGGATAGGTCTGCCCTTTGGCATCAGCCTCTCCACAAAGGGGAGGGACTCACCTTCTCAGCACCAACCATTGTCCTTGATCAGTAGAGTGGAGCAACTCACTGCCAGACACCATCTCCACTGTGACGGAACAAGCCTGCTTAGGCCTGCAGGGCCTGTTCCACCCTGCCCTCCAAGGTTTTCCTAACATTTGGAGGCTTTTCTTTCTCTCTTGGCTAACCACTGCCACAACCTGACCTTTGTAAGGAATGGCCCACTGGGACTCCCAGCTTCCCTTTCAAGTTCTGAGGCCCTGTCTCTGTGTCTCCCGCTGCCCAGCACCTGGTCACCACAGGAACAGTTTACTGCTTTGTCTACCCTTGGAGGAATAGCCACTTGCCAACTACCTGGCGCTCCTTTTAAAACAGTGTATACAAGATGGTAGAGGTCTCTGTGTTACAGAGAACCACTACAAGGATCAAAACTTATGAAGTATTTATTAAAAAGAAAATGTTCACAAGCATACTTGTAACACAGCTCCAGATTGAGCAAAGGATTCAAAAGAAATGGGTAAAACACAATTACCATGGCTTATCAGATGTTAAGACAGGCTCCTTAGCTTACCTTGTAGCTTTCTCCAGCTCTTCAGGCCAGCACATGGTTAATGGTCACCACCTCAGTTGAGTTTTGTCTTCTCTAATAGACTCAGTAGAAAATAGACCTCCCTCCTTGCTTCCAGGAGTTTTATCTTCTTCCTCTCCCCGCCCACTGACCCAGTCAGGCCACCTCAAGAAAGCTTTTCCTGAAGTCTCCAGAAATTTCTTCCTGCAGTCTTTCTAGTAGTTAATTCCTCCAAATCTCTGTTCCCTGCTTGAAGGGGGTGGAAGCTTTACCATCCCATGGTCTAGACCTATTCACATTTGTATGAAGGTGGCCCTGGAAAGCAGTTGAACTGATTGCCTCCTTCCTGCCTGTTCTCTGCCCAGAGAGGGGAAGAAAACTTTAAAAACTCAAAGTGAAGTAAAAGTGATTTGGTGAAATCTTCCACAGAGTATAGAAACATAATTATGCCCTTAAAACATGAGACAATGAAAGCAGAGGTGATTTTTGTTTTGCACGGGTGCCCGCTTATTTACAAAGTTTACGAAGTTTACTGGAGTGTTCCAGAAAGAAGAGCCTTTGGTGCATGCGATGCACGTTGAAGTAAAAACGCTCACAAGAACCATAATGAATCATGTTTGTAAGAGTTTAGCACCATTGTCTCTTGAAGCTCTCAGTGATGAGCCCTACATAACCTGTGAGTGTGAGAGAAGTAATCAGTGAAAGAAGGATCTGTGGCGAACTGAAAAAACTTTCTGAAAAGGAACAGCTACTTTTTTAACAGGAGCAAAACCCCCCATTTCATAGCAGCCTGGAAACACCTTTTACTCCAGTCATCTTTGAACAAGCCCATTTAGCTCCAGTACAGAGAGTCAAGGAAGGAACCCAGAAGGATATAATGAAAGTAGTAGCAGCACTCCGGATGGATATTCCTCTGGATATGACTGCGGATGAATGGAAACTTCTTAGACTTGAAGATGAAACTGCCAGTAAAACTTGCCATATAGATACATACTGGAATCAGTTCTTTGAAAAGACACGCCAATCTGGATGTCCAAAATACCCATTGGTTATTACCAAGGTGGTGAAAGCAGCATTATCATTATTGCATGGTAGTGCGGACATAGAAAGAGGGTTTTCAAAAACTGGACGCATTTTGACCAATGAAAGGGCCAGGATGTCAGAGAAAACTTTGAATGCCCACCTAATCTCAAAGACACTTTATATAATGTATGTGAAAACAAGGTATGCCATGTTAATATCACACAGGAGAATTTACAGATGGCAAGAGCAGCCCGTGTTCATTACAAGCAATATTGTGATGAACAGCGTGTCATTAAAGAGGAGCAAAAAGAAAAGAAGGGGAAAAGGCAGAGGAGTTAGAAAGGTTTAAGAAGATAGTCAGTGAAAATACAAGAGGAGGAAGCAAAACTGAAGAAGCTGAGACAACAGAACGCAAAGAGGATGATTGCTTGAATTTAAATGATGTAACCAAACATGTAAAGGAGGCTGAGAAAAAGGATATGGTGGGATTCAACATGACATAGCTCATGCTAGGAGGAGTGGAGAAAGCAATGGAAGAAGAGGACAAGAAAAAAATGCTTGCGGATAATGTGTAGAAAACTGTTGAGAAACGAAAGTGTTCGTTAATATCTTTTTTCATCAAAAAACCAAAGATAAAGTAAAAGCAAAGTCAAGTCTTACCTTACAGTAGTTACGTTTTGTTGTCATAATGATTACTTTATGTGTGGTTTTTGCTGTTTTATTATCTACATTATGTGATTATTTTAAAAAAGGAATCTTTTTTTGCCTTAAATTTTGTACAATAATGAAAACATTGTCCTGTCTTCATTAAAACAATCAATAAAAAGGTGTGCAATCCTTTTATCTGGATCACATCTGACTATGGGGCTGGCTATAGGGATGGTGGAGGCCAGATAATAATCATTTTTAATGAAGTCCTAGTTTTACTTTTAGAATGTTAGCTTATCAACAGACTGACATTAAATTGTTCAGTAATTTGTCAGATTTTTGTCAGTATTTGGTCATTTTTTTTTGAATTTTGGTCAGTAAAATCAGTATTTTTGACCCTCTGGCTAGTTTCCACCCCTGAAATGGCTAAAGTGCTAGAACTAGACTATCTCCATACTGAACCCAAACCAACTGATCCTATCATGAAGGTGCTTTATGCATTGAACTCAGATCCAGGGAATTCTGGATATAGCTTCAGGAATATGGGTGACCAGCTTCAAGTCCAGCATCCGCTAAGAAGTTGGAGAACCGATACAGAGTTAAGGAAGAGGTTTGTGAATACCTCTTCCAGCACCTTCAAGTCAGTTCCCTAGTAACAGAAGGCATCCAATTTAGACACAGATTGGGGGCGCATTCTTTGCCCATGGACAAAGGGTAGAAAATTGGGCACAGTATGCCAGAAGGTTTATTCATCCTGGGCACTGTGTCTGAAAGTCTCTAATTTTACACCCATCATGGGATGTTATAAAATGTTCCTGTGGGACAGGATTGCCAAGTACCTTGTGGATAAACCCCTGGCCAAGGCTTTGTTTGCTGAAGGTCATAAATTAGGGAAGCAGCAGCTCAGCACAGCCAGATGTGTTGCTGCTGTAGTAAAGCCATGGCATTGGGAGTAGTCCTTAGGAGAGATACACCTGGCTTAGGTCTTCCACTCTCCCCTTGAACACCAGCACCAAAACAGAAGATCTCACTTTTGAAGGGAAAGATAAGTGAACAAATGGATTCCATCCTTGACCAAGCCCATAAGAACAAAATTACAAGAATGTCACTTGGCATTACTCCGGCATCAA